GTTGCTAGACGTCTGTACGAAATGGCATATTTAATATATGGCGCAGAATTTGGCATAAAATTGAAAAATATGGGGCAAAATGTTTCTATTTCATGTTCTTTGTATGTAAATATTCTCAGTTAATTTCTGCTGATCTCGGCTCCTGGCTCTGGCTCAGCAGGATCATTAATGATTATAACGGTTTAAAGAAGGAAGAACAGCATGGGATGGAGCCTAACGCGACAAAATATCACAATGCGATTCTACCCTTGATAAAATCGGCGCCCCGATTACGTAACCAATATCAAAGCCTGAAACTTCCTCTTGTCGAGTTCTCACTCTTTCATTCCATTTCCCGCCTGTTAAAATAATATGACTGAATTTCAATGATCGCGTATTATTCCATTTAATATTCCTTTTTATGTTATGAAACCCCTTCGGGACAATGCTGAGAGACTTTATGAGAAAAAGGTGGAAGCGATGCAAGCGACCGACCATCAATAGGCCATTTTACAATTGTGTGCTTAGTTACCTGACCTATGAATGTAAGCGAGGCTTGAGGTGACCTTGCTTTGATACAGACCTCACTGCTTTTCTCATTTAAATGCAAACTACTTAGCATAAGAACAACTTGATTTACACAYCAAAAGCAGTGAGGTCTGTATCTAAACAAGGTCACCTGCAGCCTCGCTGCCATRCAAAGGCCAGGTCACTGAACAGACAACTGTAAAATGGTCTATTATTTTCCTTTATTATTCTTAGCCTGTTTTAAGCTCAATAGTCATTATTCAATTTTGGCAAGTGTTTATCATTCTTTGGGTAAAATACTGAAATATTAAAAAAAAACATTTTGCAGTTTATCAACTACTTAATTTATAATACTACTTTTGGAATTCTAAGCTAACTTGTCGAAAAGGCAACATTATAAATAAGCCATTTTGTTTTCAAAATTGTCGACAATTAATTTATTCAGCATTTGTTATTATCTGCAAGGTAGTATTGTTTATTGATTAGTTCCACGTCATTTATAGCGGCTTTGTCATGTCGTAAGAAAGACTTCCTCGACAATGTTATCTTGATTCAACGGATCGGATTATGGACTACCTTCTTCAGAAAATTATGTGAGCAAATTTAAAGCTTTACCTCCTCACAGCTGCGCCACTAGCAATGCTCCTAGATATAACATATATGAATATGAACCTGCATTAAAAAATATGTTTACTCGAAAACATTTCAATATTATTCCAGAAAGTTTGTTGCTATACTAGAACGTCCATAGTATAAACATAAGGGAAATTAAGAACTAAAGGCCTAGTGTTAGCCATAAAAAATTGAAATTGAAAGAAGTCATTTAAAATGGTTGTAAAAAAGCAATTTTTTAAAGGCATTATCTGGAAAGGGTCGTGTTTTGTCTATGGCGGGAAAATCGCTTGAGGATGATTAATAACATCGATTGTAACCTTGGCTTAGCCTGATGGATTGTTAATTTCCACACGTTTCATTGATAAAAATGGAGAGAAATTTATTTGTCATTTGAGTAACGAAGATGAAGTGCTAACTGTGATGAAAATCAATTTCATTGATGAGGAATTAAAAACTGAAACATCAAAACTTGGTGACCTCTTGGAGTGCCACAGGCAGTCGGTTCTTTTCTAGAATGCGGCGCGTTTCCTTGTTAATATCAAAATTATCCATCGAACGCTTCCTAATAAACGACACGAACGACCTATTTACTTTCAAATAAGTGAGATTTTATCTCAATCTGTTTAAAATCTAGATGTTTCTTTACGTGCTTGAAGCAATCATTTTGCTATCTACAAAAAGCAAAGTTAATGCTGTTTGGGGTCTCGCCGGATGGGGGTTCTGGACAATCCCGCTGCTACAGCCACGCATGCGTGTGACAAGAAAAGTACAAAGCAGGCAGTTAAACACGATCAAAGTCCCTCTCTCTTTGTGAAAAGCAACGAATGGAATGCAGAATGTAGTCAGCAAAATCAGTGCCAAAACCTGCCAAGTACACTCACATGAGGTTCAGCACAAAGCCGGTAGATTTAAGTTTTCAAAGTGGTTGTCTTTGTGAAAACTAACAGACGGCCGGAGTATCGTCAGTCATTTATCGATTTATACCAGGTACATGCGAAATTTTCATTTCCACGATTGCTGATTTTCAAGTACATTTTGTAATAGTTGCTAGCTTTATTTCTCTAGTCGACATAAACTTTCGCGTTGATGACGTGCGCTGCTAGAGCCGTGAAGAAGAGCCTGCGGAGGTTTGTAGATGAAAAAAATTCAAATGCTCTGATAACTCTTGCTATTTTGTATCGTTTTATTACACGCGTGTATGCGTTTGTGCTCTGCAAATTTTCTTCTTCTAGTGGGCGTAAGCAAGCTTTCGTATTTCGGCAGTCAATTTAGCCGCAATACAACTGTGCTACGAATTTTACCATGTACATCTACATACAGGAGAAACGGATGCTTGCAAATAATTAATACGCGATAAATTTTATACTATCATGAGGCAGTTTGAAGTTAAGCAAAGGCAGGATAATTTGGAAATTTCTGGCTGTTTTCGACGACTCTCGAGTCATGAACTTGTTCTGTTACTCTGCTAAGTGATGATTTTAGATAAAACATGGGACATCACCGCTTTTTTCTTACAAAGTGCCTCAAGATGTTCTTGCTTTCTTCATTTAAAAGCACATAGGTCCTGGATTTAAAAAAGAGGAATACTTAAGTCTTTTATTTTAGCGACCGCTACAAATTTGCAAACAAAATTTGCCTTTTAAAAAGAAATTTTGGCATACTTTATAGTCGCTAGCTGAGCTTATCAGCGAGTATGGAGTATGGATTCAGGGTTAGGGAAGTCTCAGTGTTCTTTATGGCTAATTATTTTCCAGCTATATACTTTCGAATTCATGGCTGTATTTACTAATTTAAAGCCTGGTAGCCTTAGGCTCGCTGAGCTAATGCAGAAAAAGAAAGTTTACCACCTGCATGCGGCCTTCAATCAATTGGCCTTGAAAACAAACGTTAACAGGTAAAAACAGCCGCTCTCTGACTTTAAAACAATCAGACACTTATGGTACCTGGTACCACAAAAATGCAGAATCTATATAGCCACTATATTTACTCGTAACTCTTCTCATCTTTAGGGCTACAAATATTCAAGAGGTTTGCCAAACTACTATGTACGACGGAAGCGTTTCAACATACGCAACAGAGTAATAGCTTAGTAGAATAAATGAAACAAGAAAATCACCGATGGAAATAAAATTTTAAAAAATGAAGGCCAATTTGACGTTTCAAAAACCTGCTTTTAATTTTACCTAGAGAGCCAAATGGCCAAATCCAGTTAGATAGCCAAAATCAAACCAAATGACTAATATCAGGCCAAATGGCCAAAATCAGATCAAACAGGTAAAATCAGCCCAAGTAGCCAAAATCAAGCCGAATTGCCAAATCAAGCTAAATTTCAAAAATCAGACCAAATAGCCAAAATCCAGCCAAATAGTCAAGATCAGGCCAAATAGCCAAGTGAGGCCAAATGGCTAACTTGCAATTTTTCCGAGGCTAAAGTGCTCTTCCATTCCTTTTAATTGTTAACTATTATTATTTTTCTTAGCAAAATTCAAACGATTTTAGTAACGGGGTTACTCTTTAACAATCTTCCTTTTCTCCAGACGAATAATCGTGATCTGGTAAATTCTGTGCTCAGTTGCAAACTGTTATCACAGTTCTCGATGCTTGAATTAGCACCTTGCCAAGTACATTTGCCTAAGACCTCTATTGCTTTACAGCTAAACATAACTCTTTACTTATTGCTTAGGCGACGATTTTGTTTTTTATGAATCCTATGACGTCATACGCAACAGCACGATTTTCAATATTATTCTCTCCACCCACACTTAAACAACGTCCGAAAGGTTTTCCAGTGGTGAGCTAAGACTACATAGAGCATATTTTAACGCCCTCCATGAGACCACAAAGTAAAAAAAAGAGGCGTAAACCAATTATCTAGGCAAGACGTTTGAGCTAAAAGTAGCTATTTATTTTATTTTGCTTTTTTTATTTTCGTTCGCGCTTGCTGAATAGGAGACGTTTATAACCAACTCGCCATCTCATTGGTGGAAATTGTTGTAATTATACCTCGTATGATATTTTGCATAACAGACAGGTCTTGCAGTATATTAAGCCGACAAACCATCGAATTCTGCCCTGTGTTAATTAATTATAATGCTCACAGCAACGTTCGCATAAGTTTACTTAATTAAACAATATTAACTGCGGTGTATATTTGCTTCATATTGCACTCAAATTTAAATTTTCATAAATTCTCATCTTCGAGGAAAAAAGTACATTTCGTGTCCCACTTTTTCTTCCTGATGAAACTGAAGACCGTAAACAAAAACCTTTTTCTGTAATGTCTCTTCAAAAATACTTCTGTAGTGTCTCTTCGCTTAATTAAAATTTGAATATATTTTTAAATCTGAATTTTGACAGCGGTAAATGCTCGTGTAATATGACAATAGTCATATTGTCAATATTTTCTTATATGGTCGGTGGTCGGTGCCATTGTTCAACTAATCCATTCTATATCTATTTTTTAATGTAAAATTGGCGGCTGTTCTTAAGAAAATGAAGCCACTTTTGCACCAAGAACTCAAAGAAATTCAGCCGGAATTTTTGTCTTACTACAGAAGGCAAATTTTATAAGCAACCAAAAGGTAACCGTAAAGTTTTGATTCAGCTCTGAACTAGAGTCGACAAATTTTAATTTGTCATAAAAACAAATTGAAGGACACAGGGTATTCATTCTGTCTTCAAGAGGATTACCGTGCTATTGGATAATCTGTAGCCGCTTCTTCTAACTGGACAGAATCGATCATTAAGTGATTAGGGAAATTAGCTTCATTCCTCTTAGGTCTTTATGTGACGCGAAATAAAATGACATTTAACACACTAAGAACCTCACTTAATAGCCTTGTGTTCATTTTACTGATTCAGACCTTTTTGTTCAGCAGATGACTTCACAAAATGGCTCCGTCAACATTTAGAAGCTGCTGAAATTATTACAGGATTAAAAAAATATCCCTTGCAGACGTTGAAGCGAGAAACTAAAGAAGAAATGTTACTGGAGTAACAAAAGATCCGCGGAATTTCAAAGTCATCGACTAGGGTCAATTTGGAACTGAAAGTCCTCTGCTAAGGGCACAAGCAAACATTAAAGCAAGTTGTAAACAGGAACACAATAAAGGTCAAAAGGTAAGAGAAGCAATACATTATTTCCTGACAGCCGGTCGGAAGTAGTGCTCATTTTCCAAAAGTAAATCGGCAGTTAAAGACTTCAAAGCTGTTTGCAGTGTAAAGATCGTCATGGCATCGCCCACGGCGGCCGCGGACAAGGTTCAAGTAATGAACCACACAAATGCATCAAAGCCCGGAATGTTCCAGAATGGTTCATCGGCTGGTGACCTGAACGATCCACTGAACATTCTCTCATTCAGTTTTCTGCTTCTTATTATGACTATGACATTGTTTGGGAATGCGCTGGTCATTCTCGCCTTCAAGAGGAATACAAAGATTCGCACAGTGACAAACTATTTCGTGGTGTCGTTAGCTGTGGCTGATATCCTGATAGCATTGGTGTCCATGCCGATATGGGCTGCTTATCTCATGTCAGGAGTAGAACTCAAACAAGGCCTTCTGAAAGTCTGGACATTTATGGATATCCTTTGCGGAGTTGCTTCCATTATAAACCTGACCGCAATTAGCATAGAGAGATATTTCTGCATCACTTACCCGCTCAGTTATCACACCACAATGACGTCAGTAAAGGCAATAACTACCATAATCATAATTTGGATTTTTTCCATCATTATGTCGTCGCTCAAGATTATCCTATGGAAGTTGCCTCCGCCGAAATACGAGCTAATGGTGGTCATTAGCTGTTTCTTTGTGCCACTCATCATCATGTGTACCACTTATAGGTTTATATTTAAGACGGCGCGTTTCCAAGCGCGCCAAATAGCGCTCATGATTAACGGCAACGTCAAGAACTTCCTGTTGGCGTCGGAGATGCGCGCCGCGAAAACGTTAGCCGTTGTAATGGGCGCCTTTGTCATCAGTTGGGGGCCATTCTTCATTATAAACATAGTGTACGGATTCTGTACTCGATGCGTTACGCCCGATTCCGTTGTGGTAGCAAAATGGATGCATTACTCTAACTCTGTTTTCAACCCCATCGTTTACGCTTGCATGAACAAGGAGTTCAGGAAAGCATTTTGCATTATCTTATTTGGACGAAAACGTTGTTGCCGCTTGCGAGGAAGAGCTGAAACAACTACGGATCAGACAGAGCTCAGTCTGGGAACTCACTTTTAAGAGCGTTGTTGATATGTTGACTAATCAGCGTTAAACCAAAATTCCAGGAATGTATTGTACTTTGCCTCGCTTCGCATGAGAAAATATATATTCACTAGACATTAGTTAAAAAAAAGTTATTCCATCTTGGCTCAGTTGCGGATTAATAAGGAAGGAAACCAATGGCAAATAAGTGAATTACATGATCTAAATTATGCTTGATAACTCTCCTTGACTCGTTAAGACAAATGGGATCATTATCTCTGCTGCGAGAGAAAAATTTGGTCCTTTGACAGTTGATAGTAAGCTTGTTTTTCATGTAAGTCCTAGCAAGCAAGTGTTTTACCCAGGGTTACCCTTCAGTAGCCTTCTCCGGCCGCTTTGAAACTCTGCGACTCATTTCTCATTACTGGCTATGCAAATTGTGTACGGTTCTCTAGTGAAAGGGTCCCAAATTGGAAATGAGTCGCATTAAATCGAAAGTGTTGGTTGAAGTCACAAATTAGCTTGTTCAACTCTGATGAAATCACCTTTTTCATCAGCGATATTATAACAATCTGCGCAGAACAATTATTTACAAAGCTCGATTTATGAGCACAGCAGTATGTGGCGGACAAGTGCACAATCGGAACCAGAAAAACTTTTCGCTTAAGAGAGGTGTCCGCTATTGGGAGGTTAAAAATGCAGTGTTGTATTTGGCTGGGATCATTGCTGAGTGTCCTCCCAAAAGAGGCGCTCGCTTAGGGGAGGTTTAAAATGTATTGTTTGTATGTGGCTGGGACCATTACTACCCCCGGGAGGCGTTTGTCAGCGGCGTTGCGAAGGCAGTCTGAAAGAAGGTTGAATTTGTAACCTTGCGCACAACGAAAGCTTACAAAAGGATATTCGGTTTATATTGTAGTTTTCCTTTGTTGTACCCACCTGAGATAACGACAAATAGGAATCGTAATGCAAATGTACAATCGTCTTTTCACCAATTTCTTTCTTAGTATTGGGTTTGCCTCAGCGCTACCTGCCATCATTACTCTGAGACAATAAACCTTAAGATCAAAATCTAGCTTTGTATCGAAATCCAAATTGTATCATTTTACTTTAATTTCTTCAGAAGAATGAAACGACCATTATTAATAAACTACCGGCGTGCTATGTTTAAAAGATAAAAGGCAGTTGTATTCAAAAAACAATTTCAAATGAGAGCAGATAAGAGCAGAGATTCTTGTCGCTTGGTGATTTAATTTTACTATTTTGAAAGATAACAGATATCGTTCGGCGCGTGCGCATTTCAAGGACACTATTACTTTAACAAACCTGTCATGTATTTGGAGATTCTTTATCTTAAAAGAACTTGTAAACTGCATGTTTATTTTAAATGATGAAACACTTACTTCAGTTTTTAAACGTAAAAGGCGTCACCTGTTTTTCTACCATGGCAACGACCCCTTACGCTCCAGACGACAAGAGATGTAACTTTCATGATTCCTAAAAAGACATAGGCAGGGAGCCAACGGTACAGTAACTATGTTTTGAAAACAAGGTCCCTTGTTTCTTAAAGAATCACTACACCGATACATGTATATTATCAAAGGCTGACGGAACATTATGACAAATACCGAAGGCAAAATATTTCTATTTATATCTTAGCCGCGAAACAAATGGAAACATTCGAAAAAGGTGTCACATTGTTATGATAAACTGGAGCGCTATTCTTTATGGCGAAAATGAACTTCTAAGAAAAAAACATCTTGTCCATCTGTGTGGTTGGTGGGCTTATTGTGAAAACTGATTGTCTGTAGCAAGACAAAGTAATTTACATCCTTTTTACTCTCTTGCTTAACTCGAATTTTGAGCATTTCTCTTCGCATTTGGTATTCTTTTTGTCGAGGATTATTTCACTTTTTTTCACTGCTGCTCGCTTTCCCTTACAGAGCTAAATCATTCTTTTGATGTTCCGCTTTCGCTCCGTCAAAAAGCAACAACTGAATTTGATCATATGCAAAATGACCTCTATCCAAAAAAGACAGAATAAATATTTACAGATTTTTTTTATCCTGACTATATGTCGGTCGCACAGTCCATTAAAAAAAAGGTAAAAACGAAGAAAACCCCACCGCCAGCCCTAAAACAATAATTATGATAAATTCTGGCCTTGAATTTCTTCTGGCCTTGTAATTTCTAAACTGCAATAGAGCTACGCAGTGTTTTCAAATCGCCTCACAGCATATCAGTGAATGGTGACACAATAGCAGGAAATTGCTTCAGCATCATCATTACGATTCGGGTAATGAGGGACTTTTTTATCTGAATCCCATTGAAGGTTACTGTGAAAACCGACAACATTGCTTAATGGGGATTGGCTGATGCGGTCAAAACAAGTTTTTATGCCTTTTCATTAATTGTTGGAGACAAACGAATGGGTGTCATCTTTGAGCGACATGTCAAGCGCTTTTAGACGATGAAGATGATTTGAGAGCTGAGAAGACGGCACAAAGGTAAGAAACAGAATATACCTTTAAAAATAAGTGTTGTAAGGGACAACAAAGTGCCAATATGCTCCTCGCACAAAAAAAATTCAGTCTAACGCAAACGAAATTGTTATGTCCTGGCACTCTCTGACCTTATACGCAAGCTTACAACGCAATTTTGGGTTAAAGTACCGACAAATGCAGGTAATCTTGTTAGCATTTGAGAATTCCAAACACAAAAGTCGGCCAGAGGTGATGGTGGTGATCGGGGCAAAAATATGGAGTCAAAAACATGTGCATCCAAAACGAAAACGAAAAGCAGTAGGTAAGGAAAACATTACGCAGTAACAACGTCAGAATAGAACTTAGCTTAATATTCGAGTTGTTTTACGAGCGTCAAACGACGATATTTAAGAGCAGACAGTTTCATTTCCATAAAAAATATCTTTTTGGGGCATTAAGCTAGAATGCTTTGGTCAATTATTTTATACTTATTGGAGAAAAAGTGTGTTTGCTGACAAAATCAAGAATGAAAACGTAAACATGAGGTCTCACGTGAAACACCATACAGCCTCATACTGTTATTATTCGAATACAAAGATGTCTTATATAAAATTAATCGCTTTTCTCTTATTTCACAAGACGTTGTTGCATTTTGAAGAAAGTCACTAAGCAAGAACCCCGATGCTTTTAAGGTGTTATCATTATATTTATTCTGAATTTATTCGCCTTTTCCGGCTTTCAACTCAAAACACGAAACTCAACTTCCTAATTTGACATTATTCTGTCAGTTCCAGGTTGCCTCTTGAGGCCTGGAGTTATAGCTATATATGGTAAACAGTTATCTAAACGACGTCTCGAGCTCAAAATTTTGTTAACGAGGTGGAAGAGGCATTCATTAAGGTTCGATTTTCTCTTGTCACCTTCGAGAAAAATAGGCATTCGGATTTAATACGATCATAAAATTTACTTCATTGTATAAAAGCTTCAAATTGTTTCTGAAAGCGTGCAAATGTTACAAAATAAAACTTGGATTATTGTTGTTTGTGTTACAACATGGAAAGCCTCGATTTGCCAACAAAAATCAACCAATTTTTTAAAGGATATTTTGGTATTTCACTTTGAGTGAGCTCAATAATTTCAATATGAATCTTTAAAATTTTTAAAATCTTTAAAATCTTTAAAATTTCTATGAACTTTGGTGGAGCATTTTTGTTCATTTTTCTGTGGATCTTCAGTGCCTGTATGATGTTCTTGTGATGTTCGTGTTGTTCCCACCGACGCAAAGCAGTCGATAAATCATAACACAAAAACATTTAAAGTAAACGTTACCAATTGATCACTATTCCTCCAATCGGTTCTTCTTTGTAGACTTTCCGGATTTCCGCTTTTCCTCCTCTTAAACGTCTTTAAAGTCCTTTGGGGCAAAATAAAAATACCTTGCTCTGAATGAAATAAACACAACATTTAGTCGCATGTGCTATTTTGCCGTTTGGTGAAATTCATGTTTTCAGTAGACGTAAGATATAGTTTGCCCTAAAATGGAAGAAACTAAACTAATTACAAAATAACTACCACCACATTCCTATTTTTCTATCAAGTACGTGAGCGTAAATCACATCACAGCTGGGGAATAAATCCTGTATTTTATATGGCCTAATAAGTATATCATATCCGTGTCTCTTTGTACCTTCTCCCCTAAGTATTGAGAAGGAAATGGAGGATGAATTAAATTGAACAAAAAAAACACCGTCAATTGAAAATAAATCCTGTCCATACAGTTATTCAAATTCAATAAATATGTTCGCGGGCAATGAGAAAATAAATACAAAACATGAGAATCGGGAACATAGAAGGCTGCAGTATTTTGTACGCAGGTAAAATAACATTGAACCAAAAACCATTTCATACGCAAAATTGAAGGTTTTGTTAACGTGAATTCCTATCATTTTCAAATTAGCATAAATTTCGATCTGTATCATTAAACCATCGGAAGACACTTCAAGCTATTCATACAGTTATCTAGATAAAAATATGTCTTCTTTTCCATTACACGCTATCCTCAAGCATCTGAGTAAATCAAACCTCGCTTCTTTTGTCTTCAAGAAGAACTCAACTTTTCTTGTTAGCTTTTCAAACTAAATATGAAAATATAGCAATTTGCATATCATTAAATGTATATTTTTTACTCATATTTTTTTACGTTTGCGATATCATGCGAGACAATTCATACAGCACGTACATGCAATTTCAAATCCAAGATCAATTATCGAGTATCTCTTTAATCGATTTACTAGGGATTTATTACCATATTGCTCTGGAACATTAAGTGCAGGAAAGCCATCCTAAGATTTCATATTAACCCCTCGGGCAGACATTTAACAAGGCACGAAATATTACAAAGCACATTAAAAAAAACTCCTGTTTCTGTTGCGCAAAACTAAAAAGACATAATTTGTGCTTTCTCTATCTTGCTGAGAATCACCACAACATACAGGAACAATTTATAGTGCAGTTCTCAAGAATTTTGCCATTAAAGCTCATCATGAGAAATACGAAATCCTAGGAAAGTCGTGAAGCTTTTATATTTTACAACAGCATTTTTACCACATTTGCTTCTTTCTACGTTTAGGCTGCATCTGGCAATTGCATATTTCAATTATTTCCAAATATTGCATATTTCAAAGAGAGATTGATGAATCTTCAATTGAATAACAATTGCCCATAATGTTTTCCTTTGGTTTCTCAAACTCATTAAGTATTCATGCAGCTCTTACCCAACCAGAGCATCTTATTCTGGTCAGGTGGATGGGTTTAGAAACCCATTGAAAAACGAGGTGAAAACCACGGCGTGTTTGGAAATAATTTCAAACACGGATGTAAATTTTCTTAATCTGCTTACTGAAAAAACTTTAAACCTAAATTATTTACTGCTGACGTTACATGTAACGGTACAGTTGTTAAACTCCCCAAAACAGACAGGGCCGTTCTTTTTCTAAATTTAAATTCTCGCTCAATAGTGGCGACCTCGTCTTTTGGTTCGCCTTCAACCTTGCCGTACACTTCCGATTTAAAATGGCGTTAACGTTAGAAATTCCCAGTTCTAAGGCGTACTAATTTACTATCTACCCTGCATTTAACAGACTAAACGCACACGTTACCTCGGAATAGGGCTGGCCACACACTTTTCCTCTTCCTCGCGAGTTTTAGGAGGTCTAAATCTGCACTCTGCCATTTGCTTTGCGAAGCAACGTGTTCGCTCAGAACTGACAAACAGCTAGATAACAACGTGACATTGCTGAATATTCAAAAATTGTCTCAGAGCAGCAATTAGGTAATAGAATCACATTTCACGTCTCAAATATAATATTGTAATTGAGAAACTTATTCAAATGACAATTTAAACTAATTTTCTTTCTTGGAGAAGTAATTTCAAAAACTCGTGCTTCGGGTTTCATCAGGTTTCCAAACGCTCGAAAACAATAAAATCACTCAGCCTGCGGCCTCGTGGTTTCAAATGTTTCTCGCGTTTGGAACCTGACGAAACTCTGGCACTCGTTTTTGAAATAGTAATTAAAATGTCTATTAACAAAGTTAAAAAATTAAATACTAAAAAAGGGAAAAACTAAAGTTTCGACTTAATTAAGTCATTTTCAGGGTACAGCCCAAGTTTCATTGCAGAACAAACTGTTATTATTTTATCGTTACGACACAGAATTCATTGGTTTGGTACCAGAGATGAGTAGCAACCTTTTAGCTCCAGGAGTTATATGTCTGACCTTCAGCTGCAAGCATCTGTTGTAAATTTAATACGTTTTATGTCTTTTCTTTTCTGTTTATGCAGTACAAATTCTACGGCAATTAGCAAGCATGCGCACAAGTAGTATTGAGAGTTTGGCACTGTTAACTGAGGTAGTCCTTTATTAAGTCAAAAAGCTGGATAAATACAACTTCAGCTTCAGACTTATTTTGTAGGCTTTTTTTGCCTTATTTCATTATAGTTTCTACTCCAGGACCCCTTTGATAACAGCGTTTAATACACTGTTGGGTCATACTGTTAAAATATCCTTTTTTACTATTATAACGCGGAAAAAAGATGGCGAAAAAAAATGGCGGAAAAAAAATGGCGGATGCACATTTTACCACAATACCTTAGAAACCTAATAAAACCAAAAGAGTATGATAATCTCTTGATACAGCCCATCAAGGGGAAGTAAAGACATATTTTGGCAATATTTTCCACTGCTCTAATAACATTTTGTTCGCTACGTTTGAAGATTATTAAACTTTTCTGGACGTTTTTATGTGCTTTTTAGGGTTTCCGTGCGTGTGCTTAGAGTTATAGGTAAATGTACCAGCCGTCATCTTTTATCGGAGGATTGCAAGTAGATGTGGATTCGAAAAGGTATCATTGGCGTAAGTCTGAGCCAATTAGATCTTTCCGCTTAGGTTTTTAGGGGTTTGACTCTAGGGGTGTTGTTCATTACGCTAAAAACTCCGGAAATTTCGGTTGAACGTCAAATAGAACAGTAATTTCTAGAAAATCCGTTCGGAAATTATAAACTACTTCCAGAGGTAGTCCCTTTTTTCCGTTGGGCACAGAGCGGCGGAAATTTCCTTACCACTTGCTACATTCTCGGTTTCCAGTCTCTCATCAGCTGAAAGCAATTACGCGAAATCGAATTGTAAATGGCAAGCGCCATCTCGTTCGGTTGGTTTGCTGATTTTGGAAAAACCCTTACCATTATTCAATGGTCATCCCAACCGGTTTATTCTGCCAAATTGCAAGCACCCCTAGACTTTTTCTAGAAAACAACGCGTGCATTTGGAAGTTATGTGGCAGTTAAGATCTATTTATAAAGAATACTTTTCCTTCTTTGATTACAGTATTTCCAGGTTTTGCTTCCTATTTATTTGAAAACGTTAAAATTAGAGATAGTCATTTCTTACAATGGATCGACTAGAAACTTATGACTCACACGGTTAGATAAATATTTAACATAGAAACATCTCGCTTGTGATTACTCAAATTGTTCTAAAGAAGCAAACACTTGATGATATTGCACTTCTAATCTTAACGCTGAAATGGCCAGATAAGAAGCTGAGTTGTCCGGCCTTTTATTTTTTCCACGGTATAAATGCTAGTTGATGTGTTCTTTTCTGTTCAAGTCTATAAAAGTCGTTCAGTTTTAGTTGTATAAAACACAGTACCTTGATAGGATTTGAAACCCATCAAGATCTGACTACCGGTTAAGTGAGCGACTTGCTTACGGTCAAAACGGTAAGATTTTCAGCTTCATTTTGAATGCTGTGAAAGATGCCGAGTAATGATATCCTTTCCATCAGGTTTTTTTGAAGCGTCGACATGAAAAGGTGCCGATTTCTAAATCAATTTACTCGGCGAAGATCAGTTCCGGGCTCAATTTTGCTATCACTTCAAGGAAATTTAATTTCTAGTGTTTACTTTGTTTTAGGTCGTTTGTTCATTGTTCCACTCTCCAGGAGTTGTGTTAATTTCAAAGTTTTAAACTCTTGTACATGTAAGGATGAAGCTATGGAAGTGCCATCTTTTTCACTGACCTAAAAATATTCAAAGAGCAGTGAACAATCATTTAAAAGATGTCAGATACAGCGGTCATTTTTATTTGTGCTGTTATAAACTAAAAATCCCATTAAAATCAAAGTAAACGTCGAAAACCAACAAAGAGGTAATAATAAGTTAAAGTGAATGAAAGGTTAGGATAGAAGAAGGTTAAAATGTGCCATGAAGGAAAGTTTCCAAATTCAAAATAGGACTACAACACACCTTCCATGGTGCTGGTTGTGTTTGTCGTGTCTTCGTTTGTTCATACGTGCTCCTCTTATCCATCCGGGAGACGACAAAAATAAACATAATGCATATACTGACTTGGAGCTTCTTATGACTAGTATCTGATATATGAAGGTGATAGATCATGGAATTTCCCCAAATCTCTTTGCAATTATTGATGGAATTAAGCAAACACATGTTGTAATGCACTGAGCAGCACGTAGGCGGCCGTGTTGGCAAACTGGTGTAATTTTACACACTTTTAGCGATACTGGCAAATGTGGTACCTTCTATACACTTTTACCACAATTTGTAAGTACAAAGTCTACAGTGAGATAGCTTCCTTAATGGGTAATCGATAGAACCTTACATTGCGGCGAGAAACTTGACAAACGTTCATATAGGGACGTGGTCACAACCCAGAATCTAAATCCAAAAAATCAGATTAAAAAAAATACTGCACCATCACGTTTCTGAAGAGAAGAAACTGGAGTCATTTTAGCGAAACTACCGTTTCTATGCCTTTGTACAGCTTATAGTTAATATCTAACACCTTCCAAAATACTTCTCTCAACACGAATCCAGTGTTTTTACACGAGTTAATTCCTAAATCATACATTATTTACAATATCTGTAACGGCATCATTCAACTAACACACTAGGTCCCTGCATTGTCACACGCTTAAAAATACCTCGGCGTATCTTAAAAACGTTTAACAAAACATCACTTTTTAAAGAATATTTATAAGGATGCGAATACTATGTTATTTTATATCTAGTCTCTATATGGATATAAGGATATATAATATATATGGATATATAATTACATGTACATCTACATGCAGAAATAATTATATCTCTACTTTAGGTAATAAGGTGCTGAAATAAGAAGTTCATGAATTAATAAGTTGATTAATTATCAATACCTGTTTTATTTGGTGTTCCGTGTGTCATTGTAGAAAACGTTGTGCTGATAAGCTTTTAGCCGATTAGTTTTTGCACTGAAGTGGATCCCTGTTATATAATACTGATTTCCATGTGTTGAAGTCGGCTCATGAAAAGTTTAAGGTGTTTAAGAGTCGATCTTTTCGTCGGAAAATAATGCAAAAATTAGAATCATTTTCTTTGGAAAGCTGCGGTGCAATAAGCCGCGGATGTGAAATCCACAGATCTTAGAATGCCGAAATGCATCGGAGAATTGTAAAAAGCCTACTGAATTGTGCGATTCCTACGTTTTTCAGCTCCCTGTGTCAATTTTGAGCATAAAATGTATTTTGATGTAGGCAATAACATTTATAATTTTTGATGAAGAAAACTACAAAGTGTAACTAAATATCATTTACATTTCGTGCAGAGAACCCAAGGAAACTTTCCGACAAATTAATGCTTTCTATTGTTTCATGACCTTTTTGGTCTAAGCGTAAATTGCTCATCAACTTGCCTTAACGTCATACAATTGATTCAAAATATGAAGACACACAAACCCATTTTGCTTATTAAGAACCTTAACACGCATTAATATTAGTCTCCGGTTTTGCAGTTTTTGGGGAACAGCGACACATCGCCATTTTAAACTGGAATGTCATAATGATCACTTTCGATAATAAAGGGAGAATCTGAATTTTGATAGTCTCACTCAACCAGTTATTTTCCTTTGCTGCTTTTTCTCGCATTATTTTCGTGATTCTATTGAGTTATAGAGTTATACGTTATTGAGTTAAATCCCAGTCGGTACGTCTGTATATCTTGATTATTACTTCCCAATTCTACTGTGCATGCTGGGCATTATTCCTTTACACGATCAGTATACAGCATGGTTAAAAACGTTCGCTAACAAAAACAGTTGATGTGTGTACGCTGATTCGGTAGTTTTAATAGAACCCCATGACTTGCCTGAATTATTCACCTTAGGATACGGAGTGGTAAAGTAAGTCATTAGTCCCCTAGTAGCCTGAAAATAACTCTTACATGTAATGCTAGTTACATACAACATAAAAAACCCAAAATATCCTTAACAAAAAAACCCGCGAGGGCACGGAAAACAGAAGATTTCTTGAAGTGATGCATTATCTATAGAACTTTGTTTCAATGGTGGATATATATTAAATTTCCATTTTCATTATCCACGCTGTGGGTGAGTGCAAAGAAACCCAATTTATACCGCAGAAAAATGAAGTTAATCAGTATTGTATACAAGAGTGAATGAAAAACTCTGTAGTCTGGTGAAAAAAGCAAAAGACTGTTTCAAAAGGTATATGTTTACAATCCTATGTTTTTTCTCTAATATTTGACTGCTTCCACAGGTATAAATTTCTTGTATAATGAATATAAATCCAGAGAATCAAAATTTTTGAGTTGAGACTTTCAAACCTTCAGTACACGTATTTAATAGTTTTGTTTAATAGCTTTGCCAGCACTCAAAGTATACTTTGAAAGAGAACTCAGTGCAGTAGACGATATATTGCCACAACGTGATCTTTTAGGCATTATATCTCGCTCGACCATAAAACATTAGCCTGTCATCAACTAAATTATGTTAGTGCGAGGCAAGGGGGTAACCGTAGTAGAAAAACCAGGAAATTACGCCAACTTTTTTGAAATCAGGTCGGCTTTGCGTTTCGCATTATTCTAAATATATGGATATTTCATTGAACGCAATCCTCATCGAGATGCGCAACGACTTTCATTTCTACCAAACGCCTTGGCTTTTCCATAATTTCTGCATCGATTATTCATTATTCAAGATGAATAAAGATCAGGACATTTATGTAGTCATGTCGGCAGCTCCGAGCGCTTTCTCCTGCACGAAAATTAGGACAACAGTCACAACAGGGTTGCGAGTGAAAGCATTTCAAGGGATGACACTCTAAATGAACATAAAAGCCAATTTTGAACATTTTTTCATTGTGGACAATATTTATTGTGCGAAAAGAACAGAAAAGACCCCTGAAGTGTTTCAAACGAAATTCTAATGTTAATAGTAATGTTTTTCTTCGAGAAGAATGAAATCTTAAAGGTAAAATGGATTTTTGCAAAGTTTCCGGGTAGCTGCTGTGTGATTGAATCAAATTGCAATAATCAAATTAACTAAAATGTGAAGTAATTTCTCCCAAGGTTTCACCGTAATGTGGGAAATTTTCTTAGATGAGCTTTCACTGCGTTATTCTCTCCGTGTAAAAAATATTTTTGTATTTATTCTTAAACATGGAGCTTTTAAAGCATATACGTAATGCTTTTTTTGGTTTTCGTAATGTCTTGAATACGCTTACATGTGTACAATAAAAATCACATTTTAATTCCCATTACATGTTTGGCCCATTACTAAGATTACTGTAATTTGATTGGCTGGGGGAATTTCTATAATCGTGGGCTGATATGCAGACGCCAATGGAAAATCTCAATAGATTTTTAGACCCATCAAAACCATTCTTTTTTCATTCAGTCTATTTTGATAATTAACAAGTTATTTTTAACTCCGCGGAAAAATAGGGTTGGTAGTGAGAGTGATTATCACGAACGCGAAAATAATATATGTAACATTTCGTGAACTCGGACTTAAATTTTCGTGCTTGTAAAGTGAGCTTTCAAATTCGTTCCGCTTTGACCTTCAACAACACGTAAGTGGATAGACCCTAGTATACGAGGTAAGCTTTCAAGTTAATTTTGTGACTGGTATTCAGAGAAAAGTATAGCGCATTAAGATTCCTAAAACCCAAGCAAAGACGATATTCTTTCATCCTAGGTGTTTGTTGCAGGTGGCGGTTGCAAGGGTCGGTACAGAGCTATGAGAATTTTTTTCTTTACAATTTAGTTAGATTCTAAAAAAACGAAAAAAAAAGTAGGAACTAGTTAGCTGAGGTGGTTATCACCTCAAATGAAACGTATATAAACAATAAAACTGAACTGAGTATTCTTCAGTAATCTCGAGGGCTTTTTGATAATTAAATAAATAAAATTACCGAAACTAAAATTCTGAGGATCATCAAAATTGCACTCGACAACCGACTACATGCAGTAAAAAATCTATTTGAAGAATATTTGTTTTATTAATTTTCAGGTCCTCTTAAGAATTTTTACACCAAACCCAATTTAAATTAACATTTCTTTCTTTCCACTATAGCTTATGAATAATTTTCTTTTATATCGGCTTTTTCTTAAACTGACTAAAGCTAAACCACACAAGGAATTAATGAGAAGGAAAAACCGACAGAGGACAAAATGTTTACTAATTGTTCAGATTAATGTAAGCCGAACATCAAGTGATGACATTGAAATATTGAAAAACAGAAAAATGAGTAATAATTTCAAAGAACCTTACGAATGAACAAATACTTTTTTATGAGTTTAGTCAGCCAGCATCTTCGAGGACAACCGGAAAGAAACAACCTTCGTTCTCCCCGGATAGTTAGACAGGCAAACTGCTGAGTTCTCTTTGCTTAGTGGAGATGATTACGTAATCTTCTAGCGAATGAAGCAGGAACTGTAACAACTACTATTTAAGCCTTCAAGTCGAACAATATAGACTTCTCTTGCTGTATTAGAAATGCTTGATAACTTTTAGTTTAACTGTAAGAAATTACAGATAAAGCGCTCATTTATCACCACCTTTCCATTCTATTCCATTAGCTGTGATCGTAGGCGGATAAATCGTGGTTAAATGAGACGATACAAACGGAAGATTACGTCAGAGCATGAATCATAATATAAATGGAGCATAAAAATTGTATTATTGAGATGCCAAGAAGAGTTTCACAAAAAAATTATTTTCTTTTCGCTGAAAGGTGATTTTCCCATAATGACCACCAAATATTTGTTTTTGACCGCATTAGTGAGGCTAATGAATTGTTTGACTTGAAGACGCCACTTTAAGAGTTAATTATGTATTTGCACAGCATGCCATGTTCTCTAAATTCAAATTTATGGCGCATCTACCACAAGTAAAGTTTGTATTTTACAAGTAGTTCGTGTGACATTTTATTTTTTGTATATTCGTACTAAGATTTATTCGCTGAAAACCCGCGAATTACTTGTTTGAAACTGTTCTAAGCCAATCAAATTCTGCGTATGCCGTCTCTTAAGTGTAACGGAAAACGCGAAACGTTTCAAGAGGTTAGGTGCCAGTCAGACGCTATGAAGAATGCCTATATATTTTCTCGTGCTATTAATAGGTTATACAAACGCGTATAATACAAAATACAAATGTGAAACAGGACCCCCTAGTAAAAGGTGCTGGGATCTCTTGGAATAACAAATATTACTAAAATTTCCTAACAGATGGGGCGATCGATCAATTTGAAACTGAATGAAAGCAGTTTCGCACAAAAATTCATCTGTTCAGATCTTTTGAAATTTTCACGTGCCCTATCACGCCTGCCAAGCCTGTCAGGTATCTCAGTTGAAAAAATGCTGGATTTTTTTGTCTGTGTTCCATATGTCAATAACCTTTTGAACATCTTAGCGCATTACATTCCCCTTCCCCCCCCCCCCCTAACTAACTCTCGTGTGCATGGTCACACACCAGGATTTCGTCTATAAGTTTAAAAGTTAGAACCACCCTGTAAAGCAAAATAAATAATACAACTTGAACGTATTGCTTATTAGATCTGGGTTTCATCGGCAAGGGTTGAGGGCTAAGAACAGGTCATTTCCTAGTTGTCTTTTGTTCCTATGTCAAAACGAGTTTTTGTGCGAAACCATTCATATGAAAATTTGTTTCTCCCCATTCATGCAAAATCAAACGCATCTTCATATGAGAGGTTTTGCAACAGAACTCGCTTTGAAATAGACACACAGGGTAACTCTGAAATGACCATAGGATTCGTGAACATCTTATTTATCATGCTATTGACTTCGTGGACATCTTATTTAAGTAGAATTCGGATTACCGGTAAAAACACTGACAGGAAAAATATCCGTTCTTATTACTTTGCATTTTCAGTTATGACAAGTTCCACACCAATCCCGGCAAACAACGGGACCAGCATGGAGGAGAAGTTTGAGAAGGAAACTATTCTTCTTTCCACCACTTTCCTCGTCATCATCATCGTCATGGCACTGTTCGGGAACGTTCTGGTAGTCGTCGCCTTTGCAGTTTTCCAGAAACTTCGGACCGTAACTAACTACTTCATAGTGTCACTTGCTGTTGCTGATATTCTGGTGGCAGGAGTATCCATGCCAGTCTGGGGCGCGTACCTCATCACCGGACCCAAGTGGATGTTCGATTTATGGGTCCAACAGGTATTTCATTAATTACAAATAATTTTAAATTTTACCTTCAATTTCTACTGAAATTCCAACGTACACTCTTTCAGGAATCATAGAGATTCTAGACTAAAGTTAGCCCACAGTCTGGAAAGTGGTCAGGTTTACTCCACCTAATCGCGCACTGAACTAATGAAACATCACTCCAAAGACAACCTCTCTTCAATGGTTAAATTATCTTTTCGCAAGGCTGATCGTTTTGGTGATGCACAACTGTACCAATTTGAAAAACTAGAGAATGAAACATTGGGAAAAAGCAATAGTATGTATAGACTCATGACTAAACTGAAGCTTGGTTCTTAGTTCTATTTCCTGTTTTTTCAGGTGTGGAGCTGTGTAGACATCCTTTGTGGGTTGGCCTCCATCTTTCACCTCTGCTTCATCAGCCTTGAACGTTACGTATGCATTTCCTCTCCATTTACCTACCACGACAAGATGACAACCTCTAAGGCAGTCGTGGCCATTTTCGGCATATGGTCGTTCTCCATTTTCATGGCTGTGCTCAAGTTAATCATGTGGTCGATGCCTCCTCCAGTCTACGAAATCGTCGTAAGCGTGTTATGTTTCTTCGTTCCACTGCTGATCATGCTGGTCTGTTACATGAAAATCTACATGGCGGCTCGTCATCAGATCAAGAAAATGATTCTAACGGTCCATGGAAGTCCGAAGAGATTCCTTCTGTCCAAAGAACTCAAGGCCGCAAAAACAGTTGGTGCCGTGATTGGCGCTTTTGTCATCTGCTGGGGCCCGTTCTTTGTCTTAAATCTCATCTACGGTCTATGCCAAAGTTGCTTACCCCTCCCCGAAGAGTCCGTTCTTGCGGCAAAATGGCTTCATTACGGTAACAGCGTGCTCAACCCAATTATTTACGCCTGCATGAACAAGGACTTCAGGTCAGCCTTCAAGAAACTTCTCGCGTTTTCGTGCTTTTTCATTCCGGGCGTTCAAAGACAAGACATGACCTTGGAAAAGTCGTTTTACAGCGAGAGAAACTCCGTCAGATCACAGAGAGGAAGTTCTTCTCGAGGGGCCAATTCTCTGAAAGAAAACAGCTCTTTGCGTTCTCAAAAAGAGATGAATGGTTATCATTCATGCGAAAAGCCTTGCTTCGTGTAAGTGTCAGTCACTGTGGTATGTGTGGACATGCGACATATTGGATTACCGCTGATGACCTGCCAAGGACAATTGGGAGCCTGCGAATAGAGAGATTTTTTGTCAAGCTCCTCTCTCCTTGAAAACGGCACAAGTTGATGAACAGGATGCGTTACAAAAAACGCACAAAAACTCTGAACTTCACACGTTCATCGATCTATACATTCTACGTACGCAGTCCATGTCAGTAGTCCGAAGATTAGACAACCGAATATACTACATGTATTCAACGTTTAGGAAACGTGTGATCTAAAGTAGTATTAATCCAATAGCCAAACTCGTTACAAAACGCCTAAACGCGCTCTAAGTTCACAATTCAGCCTCCGTTGAGTGATGGATCATGGTGTATCATGTAAAGCAAACCTCGAAGCCACCAGCAACCATATCCTTCATACTGTTAGACTTAAATAAGCCACACTAATTAAAAATTAGATTATGAGCTCGAGATTTCTATGAGGGGATAGTTGATGAGGCCGAAGACCGAATCAACTATCGCCTCATAGTATAAAGAGCGAATATTCTAATTGTTTTAGTATTCTAACTGAAATTTCATTTAAATGACGATTCCAATTCTTCTTCAGAACTCAAAACAAATAAGAATTCCGTAGTCCGAGATGTATACTCTAGAATATATTGGGTAGAAAAATGCCCAGGAATTTTCTTTTTCTTTTTTTGTTTTTTAGGGGGATTGGTAATTTTGGTGTTTTAGGGGCTAATTATCTTAAGGGGTATGAAATGGTTTTTTAAGAAGCGGTATTTTTGTGTTCGGGTTAAAACGTATTTAATCAGAAGAAAGATGAACGTGAAAGCACAAAAAGGGAAGCTTAACCACCGGAAAATATATTTATCACTTGAGAGATATCATCGTCAGGTTGGTTGGGCCAAATATCGTGTTTGAACCATTTCGCGCGAGTGAAAAATATTTGGTGGCTGAAAATACTTATAATGCTCGACAGTTAAATACAGGGTGGGAGATGAATGTCGACCTATCAATGGTTTAAATTTATCAAGGGATGTTCCATGGGCCGGGACGTGGTGGGGGTCAGTAACCTGCAGCTTGCTCGAGTCGCACTGAGGAATGTTGGCCCTCGGTCGTTTTTGTGCGGACCTGGCGGCGCTCGGTCCGTACTACCATAACCTCTGGCCAATATTTCCCAGTACGGCCCTCGCTCTCGGTTAGTAACAGATTATTATTCTTTTCTCAAGCATCTGAGCGGGCCGGAATCCTAAATCCTCGTATTTGATTGGCTAATCATACGCACGTGACCGGTNTTATTGTCTTTGTATCAAAGTGTGGACACAAGACACAATATTATCAAACACGAAAATTCTGACCAATTGCCTTTTATTACTGTAAAAGTATATTTATAGCTCTCTGTTGACTATTACACTCTACTGTTAAATCATATGTTATGCACCTGTCCCAAGTGATGTAATGATTGTACATACACAGCGTACCTAAAACAAAACCTAAAATAAAAACATCTCTAAGTACAGATGTATGTATTTGGTTACTTTAAGAGTCACTTATGATCAACCTACAGATTATTCACTAATCTGCTAACAGATTAGTGAATAATTCGTACTTTGCGCACGCAATTCCAAGACCAATGTCACGGACAGCGAAGCAAGAACATGGCTTGTCAAAATTAAACTGTGTTCGGTGCGATAATGAGTTTGTCGTTATTTTCTTTAAAACAATACATAAGAAAACAATTATTAGATTCGGTTTTGGTGATACTCGAAATAACCAAGATCTCGGTTTGTGTTATCAGCTTTAGCCTTCGGCTCCGGCTGATAACACTTACCTCGACTTTGATTATTCTGGATATCACAAAAACCTCATCCAATAATTGTTTATAATTGAGATATACAATCATACGCTTAGATCATAAAATATCTCTACAATAAACACACACGACATGGTTATTATCGAGTAAAAGTCAATATAGAAAATAGAAGACGAATATAAAACGGGTTTGGAAACTGAGAACTTTTAGCAAGACCTTGAAGCAACTTTGGAAACGCAGTCCGCTAGCGGATGTTTCCACGTTACATCTACTCTCCCAAATTTCTCATTAGTAATAACCTTATTAGCCACACTTCCCATGGCTAACTGTAATGCTATAAAACTGATTTGTCCAAGATTTCTTTGAGGTGATAATAAGTGAAGTATAAAGGCTGAATCATCTTTCACCTTGCAGAAATTGTAGCAAAAAACCAGTATCATTCTGACTTAGTTACCTTCAAATTTCTCATTATAATGGCTAACTAATGTTTTTTCTACATAGTTATAAACTTTACACTTAATTCGCTTTGTTTAGCTTTGTACCCACGCTCATCAGTGTTTCAACAAGTTTGAGCTGTTTAAGCCGGGAAAAGGTAAATGTTCTTTTTGTAGTTTTCTTAACAATTTAATCTTTTAGACATACAAATTTCCAAGGTCAGCTATCAACCCATGGGCAGATAGTCTCTCCACCGATGAACACCATCGCGTCACGTGATCAATTTAAACCAATAAAAATCGGAAAATATTAGCGGTGAACTGTATCTGCCCATCCAAGGAAAATACCCGGATGGATAGTACCTTGTCCGTGAAAATTGTTCTGTAAACAAGCGGTTTTGTAGAAAAAAAGAAAGATTGATTAATCAGTATTGAGTGGGTTTTTGTCTAATTTCTTTTTCGAATTTTACATTTAACTTTCATGCCTTTCATCTAAAAAATTGGAAAGTAATTCAATACGGTTTTTAACCTGGCGCGCAGAAGAAAATTTAGTATTGAATATTATTATATAAACACTAGTGAAATGCCAGATTTTCTAAAAACAAGCATATTTGCCCTCGAAGTTTCGCTTGTCGACAATTATTTATTTTAATAACATCAAATTCCCGGGGACAACTATCAGCCGATGGTTCCTCGACAGGAACACTTTATTGTTTAAATGGTGTTTCTTCGACGATGAACACTATCGCGTCATGTAATCAAATTAAACCAATAAGAATTGGAGAAAATTTCGTGTTGAACTATACCCATGATAGTGCCCGGACAAGATTGCACCACGTGATCAGTTTTGACCAATGACGACAGTGTAAAAATTCAGTGGTGAACTTCAATGGCATATATTGCCAATCAGATTGCAGCAGGCTTTTGATTTGGACAACTACCCTTTATAATGTCCAGTAGTAAAACATTTTTACAACTCGCCACTAATTTCTGTCAGCGATGGTGAACTCAGCTGCCCATCAGATTTGACTATTCGTTCATAGAAAACAAAGGCTTGGAGTATACTCGTTAAGTAAGAACACAGGATTCTTAGTTTTTTAGTTCTTGAATATACCACTTTAACAGATCTGATCTGTAAAACACTTTGCCTCGGATGAACGTTTATTTTGTAAGTGACAGAGTTCCTGTTTTGATCACTTTTGTGACTAGGTGTCACATAATGCCTCTCCAGAGCGCTTCCAATCTTCTCTGTCTGATTTCGTACTTCCGTCCATCTTCCGTGTCAGATTACACTAGAAATGTTCCGCTGAATGGTCGTTTTATTCATGGAAATCAACTTCTGATTTCTTTGCAACATCCTCC